CTCGGGAGCTCGCGCTGTCCGGTAGGTAGGCCTTGCGGGTCGGGCGCAGACGTGGCTGCCGGCCGGCGCCCGCAGGCCTCCCCGTCCGGCGCGGCGAGGTCTCGGGAGCACGCGCTGTCCGGTAGGAAGGCTTTGCGGGTCGGGCGCGGCAGGTGTGTCGTGGGTCTCCTCCGAGCCCATGTCAGGCGGAGCCTCGGGGCAGCCGGGGATCCTGTGCCTCCGGGACCGGCCTCTGCCTTGGACGCTCGTACTCTGTGAAGTAGTAGCCTTTATTTTTTCCCCAAAAAAGTAGATTTTGTTGTTTAAAAACAGAAGAAACCTTTAATGGACTTAGGCCACATAAGAACACTTCCAGACTAAGTCTGATCCTCGTCCTGCCAGACTTCGGTAGCTCACACCTGTAACCCGCGCTAACTTTTCTACAGTTCTAAAAGGTTTTATTTTTAAAAACGAAAAGAAGAGCCGGGGTCCGGTGGCTCACACCTGTACTCCTAGCCACGGGCAGCTGAAACCTGGAGAATCAGGCTTCAAGGCCACACTGCAGAAAAGTCTGACAGACTCATCTCCAGCTGAAGCTGAGACCGCTCCAGTAGAATGCCAGTGGCGAGGGAACCAGCCAAGTTCTGGATTCAAATCCAAATTAGGGCAAAAAAATGTTTTTAGTCTGATCCTGTAGACACCTCTAGCAGTCTGAAGTTACTATGCTCCAGTTGCTTGTCTCACAAACTGTCACATTCACCTTCATGAGTGAACAGGCACAGCACAAACTGAAAATGCAAACCCCTTGCTGGAGAAAAAGAGAAGTGTCAGTGTAGACGCTAAAATAGCTGGTGTAGTGGTGCATTATCCAAACACTTGAGGATCCATTTGGTGGTCTGCATTCCATAGCCAGAACTTGTCCCCAATACAAAACATGCTAAAATACTCTAAAAGCTCCCCCGTGGAAATGCTCTGGTTTTGCCTTTGTTGGGAAAATGGACGAAAAAGGAAAAGGAATAGGCTGGACTTATCATCAACAGAGGAGGAGTGCTAATTGAAGCACAGCCAGAGGCATGGTTTTGGAGGTTTTGGGTGTTGTGTGAGAGAGTTGGGACAGGTTTTTATTTGAGGTCTGAGCAAGGAGACAGGTTAATGAAAAATCCACTAGGTCAAGGGAGGTGGGGGCTTATCAAATGGAACCACAATAGGATGTTTACAGCTGGGCTTAAGACGATTGCCCTGCCAGCACATCAAACAAGTACGCATTTACCTGGGATTTTACCTGGTGTCCCAACGTTCCTGGGACGATAGGGTGGGGAGAGTCAGTCCTTCATATTCCATCTTTAGGTGGAATGATCAAGCCAAGAAGGGAGAGGGAAGTCCTTCAGCCTTAGGTGTCTTAAAATTGGTTGTTGTAGGAAGTGGCACCGTAGCTCAAGTGGTAGAGTGCTCGCCTTGAGCTGAAGAGCTGAGGGACAGCTCCTGAGCCCAGAGTTCAAGCCCCACGACCAACAACAAAAAAAAAAAAGTAAAGGAGAAATTGGTTGTTGTATACCATTGCAAGTAAACAAATTTAAAGCAAAATTATCAGCATGCTTTGCCATTCTTTATATTGTACTGTACAGTACTTTTAAATAAAACGTTAAAAATGTTTAGGTGCAGAATCACTAAAATGTCACAATTTATAGTTTATATAGCCATGTATTTTTTTGTTGCTATGAGTAGAAGTGCTGTACAAAACTAACTCAGCTGTTCTTAATTGTTTCCCTAAAGTACTGGGGATTGAATCCAGAGCCTCATCAATGCTAGGCAAGCATTGTACCACTTGAGCTAAGCTCCAAGCCTTTTGGGTTTTGAGAAAGGGGGTGTCTTGTTATCCTTAACCTATTTCTGCCTCGCATGTAATGTTTTTATTCTACTTTTTTTTTTTTGGTCAGTCGTGGGACTTGAACCCAGGGCCTTGATTGCTGTCCTTGAGCTTTTTTTGCTAAATGGTAGTGCTAATTTGTGAGTGTGTAGATACACACACACAAAATGTGTGTGTCTGGTGTCAGCATGTGGTGGCCATGTAACTGATAGCACTAATTGCATACTGGCAATGCCAATCTTGTCCTAGCACCTTAAATCTGGTACATCATAAATGTTTAACAAAGCCGGGGACCAGTGGCTCATGCCTGTAATCCTAGCTAGTCAGGAGGCTGAGATCTGAGGATGGAGGTTCAAAGCCAGCTCAGGCAGGAAAGTCCATGAGACTCTTATCTCCAACAAACCACCAGAAAACCCGAAGTGGTGCTGTGGCTTAAGAGGTAAAGCGCTAGCCTTGAACAGAAGACCTGAAGGACAGCATCCAGGCCCAGATTTCAAGCCCCACTACCAATAATAAATAAATGTTTAACAAGTAATTGGTGGCTGGATACCATGGCTCACATCACTAATCACAGCTACTTACGAGGCAGAGACTTAGAAGGAGGCCAGCCTGGAAACTATCTTGAAAATAAACTATACAACTTGTGGGTGTGGTGAGAGTGAAAAACTGGGAGAAAGCAAGGGAAAGGGTGACATAGTCTAAAAGGAAATGCACTATGCCTGACTTTTGTAAACCATCTGTTTAATAAAGACTTTGTTAATTAAAAAATAAAATATAACCAGGCACCAGTGGCTTATACCTGTAAACGTAGCTAGCTATTCAGGAGGCTGAGATCTGAGGATCACGGTTCAGTCAGCGCAAGTAGGAAAGTCTGTCAGACTCTTACCTCCATTAACTACCAGAAAAAAAACAGAAGTGGCCCTATGACCAACAACAGCAACGAAAAATTATTTCTTTTTGTCACCTGAAATTATCATTCCTTCACTGGCTTTGTGGATCTGAGTTTCAGTTCTATTTTTGTTATTTACCAGCTGAATGATCCTGGGAAAATAATCTCTCCAGCCTATTTAAAATATGTGTATGTGTGAACATAATTCAAGTAGAATCATATGAGTACTTCATGATCATTATAAATTTGGAACACTAAAAATAATTTTATTTCCTGTGAGTCTGAGGGCTCACCTTTCACTTATTTAATAAACATGTTAGAAGTGAGACTACTCAGATCAGTGAGGTGTTCTATTAACAATTTTGATGAGAACCACTGCTAGGCATCTACCTTGGATGTCACGAGCCAGGACACTTGCACATCCATGTTCATTGCCACACTATTCACAATAGCCAAGATACAGAAATAGCCCAAATGCCTCACGATAGATAAGTGGATCCAAAAAATGTGGTACCTATGTATGATTGAATTTACACAGGTTAGTGGATGGAACTAGACCAAATCATGCTAAGTGAAGTAAGATCAGAGAGATAAACAGCACATGTTCTTATTGTGGGAGTTAAATCTAAAATGCATTGAGATATGGTAAAATATACAGAATTGTAGATAAGTATAGAAAGACCAAAAGATGATAGTCTTAGAATCACAAAGGTGCAATGCCCAAGCACCTCCTCATATGTATATAAAATAGTATACGTACTAAATCAAACTTCAAGATGCAGAAACAAAAGACTTTTCTTTTTTTAGTTTTTAATTCTGTCTTTTCCTGATGGTGTATTCATGTGTATATCTGGGGGGCTGGGAAGGCACAGAACTCAAGGGGAAATTGGTGAAAAAGTGCAGTAGTGGAGTTCACTGGACACTGATGAAAGTGAACTATACAACTTGTGGATGGAGACCTGGGGGAGAAAGAACAGAAGACACTATACAAAAGGAAATGTACTCATTACCTGCCTCATGTAAATGTAACCCTTCTTATACATCATTTCTATAATTAAAGAATTTTTGCCAGGCACTGGTGACTCACACCTGTAATCCTAGCTATTCAGGATGCTGAGATCTGATTATTGCAGTTCAAAGTCAGCCCAGGCAGGAAAGTCTGTGAGACTTATCTCCAATTAACCACCAAAAAACTAGACGTGGTGTTATGGCTCCAGTGGTAAGAGTGCTCACCTTGTGCTGAAATGCACAGGGACTATGCTCAGGCCCAGAGTTGAAGCCCCATGATTGACAGAAGAAAAACAAAAAAGATTTTTATTTTTATGAGAATACTGCAGTGCTCTTAGAAACTGAACCAGCCTTAAGAGTTTTATATTCCTGTTGTGATTGGCCTGGACTGCAGTTACAGTCCATCTATTCCCCCTCTTCATTTTATTTATCTCGCTCTGCTTGCACATCTCAACATTTTTATACCTGATGTGAGGTAAGTACTACTATCTGTGGATGTGTTGCTACTTACTGTGAAGTGTATCTGGAGAATGGTTTTAAGATAGCAAGTTTCATTTGTTATATTAAGGTCATTGAAAAAACTTGTCTACCAAGAAAAATTACTTATTTGTAAACTAAAGTATCAGAAGCTAATCATTCCATAGGTTTCCATTTCTATTAGTAATTTTTATTTTCTTTTGTAAATTGTAGCCTAGGCCTTCACACACAGTGAGACTAAAGGAGGATCCTCGGGGAAGGCAGGGGGACACAAAGGCACAATGCCTATGTGTCTCTGACTATATAAAATAATAGTTACCGAAATTCCAGTTGTTTTTGAAATCTTTTTAAATTTTCCTTTGTAACAATAAAATTGTTTTGTTTTGGGGTTTTTTTTTGGGGGGGTCCAGTTGTGGGGCCTGAACTCTGGGCCTGGGCACTGTCCCTCAGCTCTTCAGCTCAAGACTAGTGCTCTACCACTTGAGCCACAATGCCACTTCCGGCTTTTTTCTTTTTGCTTATGTGGTACTGGGGAATCGAACCCAGGGCCTCATGCATGCAAGGCAAGCACTCTACCACTGAGCCACCTTCCCCAGCCCCTAAATTTTTTTTTTTTAGTTCGTAAAAAAATTCAGGTTTTGAGCCGGGCACTAGTGGCTTACTCCTGGAATCCTAGCTACTTAAGAGGCTGAGATCTGAGGATCTCAGTTCAAAGCCAGCCTGGGCATGAGACTATCTCCAATAAACCACCAGGAAACTGGAAATGATTGTAGCTCAAGTGGTAGGGTGCTTGTCTTAGGTTGAAGACGGACAGCACCCAGGCCTAGAGTTCAAGCCCCACAACCAACCAAAAAAAAAAAAAATCAAGTTTTGGGAACTGGGGATGTGCTTATAGAGTGTTTGCCTAGCATTCATGAAACCCTGGGTACAATTCCCCAGTAGCACGTAACAGAGAAAGCTGGAAGTAGTGCTATGGCTTACGTGGTAGAGCACTAGTCTTTAGCACAGAGATACTTAATTTTTAGCTTAAAAGTCAAATACAAATTACCTGTTTTAAGAATGATTATGTGTGTGTTGATTCATATGCACACACACATACACTATAGAGTATAGTATAATAGGCATATCATGTATCTAGTATACATAATATGCTACCTACAACCACTTAGCTTGTGTGTGTGTGTGTATGTGTGTGTGTGTCTGCTGGTACTAGGACTTGAACTTTGCATTCTGACTCTGTTTTTCTACTCTTCCACTTGAACCATGCCTCTGGTATAGATTTTTTTTTGGTGGTTAAGTAGAGGTAGGAGTCTTAGAGATTTTGTCTGCCCAGACTGGCTTTGAACTCTGATCCTGCTAAGTAGTAAAGATATCCAGCTAGACACTTGTTCATAATCCTTAGTAATCTTGCTTCAAGACCTATTTACCATTGACCAACCAAACCCTAGAAAATTAAGTTCATATGCTGGGCACCTGTGGCTCTGGCCTGTAATCCTAGCTCCTCAGGAGGCTGAGATCTGAGGATCATGGTTTGAAGCCAGCTAGGGCAGCAAAGTCCATGAGACTTAGCTTCAGTTAACCACCAGAAAACCAGAAGTGGTGCTGTGGCATAAGTGGTGGAGCACTAGCTTTGAGCTGAACCTGAAGGACAGCACCCAGGCCCAGAGTTCAAGCCCCACAACCAACAAAAAAAGAAAAAAAGAGAAAATTAAGATCAATGAGGATAAGTGACCAAAGAAAGGAATCACTGGTACCTTCTTGGCTTGGGAATTTTCTCTTGTGTCTTTTTAAATGTTAACCATTTAAAAGAACAAAGCCCAGTGCCAGACTCCTTACAGCATGGCCGATAGTGCTGCTGCTAATTTACCATTCCTGAGCCAGGGAAGCCAAGTCCATGCCAGGGTGTCGGGTAAGTGAAGCCCGGTCCCCGTCACCATGGACCATTTCTTCTTTGTCTGTGAGCTCTCAGGCCACACTTATTCCTTCACCTTTAAAGTAGAGAAGGAGGAAGATGCAGAGCATATGTCGGCATTAACTATGCTCTGCCTCACCAAGGGGGCAAAGGATAAGGATAATGTGGTAGAAATTGTTGCCCAGCACCATGACCACCAGGAGATTGCAGTACCTGTGGCCAATCTCAAGTTGTCTTGCCAGCCCATGCTTAGTCTGGATGACTTTCAGCTTCAAATACCTGTGACTTTCCAGCTGACGTCCGGCTCTGGCCCTGTACAGATCACTGGTTGGCACCAGATAGTTACTATAAGCAATGATGGTTCTGAAGATGATGAGAGTGAAGAGGAAGATGGAGAGGAGGAAGCTGAGTTGTTCACTATCCTTCCTGCAAAAAGCAGAGGGGCAGGCTCTAGTTCTTTTTGGTCAAGTATCTGCCTGCTTACATGTGCTGCATGCCACATTCCTGGACAAGTGTAAAGAACTATGTATGTTCTTCATTGTAGAGGAGTTGGGTGGAAGAGAGTTAGTATGGTGCTGGGATAAGGGCAGTCTCCATAGGGCCTTGGTCCCAAACTATGCCTTTTCTGTAAGGGTAGAAGACTCTCTTTTTCATGAGCATTGGAAGTCATTTGAACAGCATAATAACATTTTTAAACACTTTTTATATTTTTAGATAAATGTTTAAAGTACTGAGGGGTTTTTGAAGGAAAAACAAAAAACAAAACCAGTGCCAGTAGTCCCAGCTACTCAACAGTCTGAAATCTGAGGATTGTGGTTTGAAGCCACCTAGAGCAGGAAAGTGCCTGAGATTTATCTCCAATTACACCACAGCAGGCCAGGAAAAAAAAAAGAGCTATGGTAGAGTGCTAGCATTAAATAATAAAGCTAAGGAATAGTGCTCAGGCTTGAGTTCAGTCCTCAGTACTGGCAAGAGAGAGTGATAAAGAGAGAGATAATATAACACTGGTTGGAAATACAGCTCTGTGGTAGAAGCGTGCCTAGCATGCATGAGGCCCTGGGTTTGATCCCCAGGACAACAAAAAAGAATAGTATTAGAAGAGGTCACTTGGGCATTGTTCAGTTGAAATACTAGATGCTGCGATTGTCTTTCTGTGGGAACAGGAAAATCTTTTGCTCTCTTTATATAACTGAACTCTGAGTGTAGAAAATTCAAAATGTATTTTGCCCTCTTTATGGTTACGTAACTCCTTAATTGTTCATTTACAGAGCAGTGGCTGTTCTTGCTGATAACACTGTAAACTTGTAATAACTGGCCAACACCAGCTCCATCTACAACCTCCCACCTAAAGAAGAAGGAAACATGGCTTGTAATGAGTTTTCTCTTCATGTGCCAACTCTGAAGGAGCTTGCTGGAGGTAAAAACAATATTTACTTTGGGGCTTTTTTATTTTTATTTTTGTCAGTAGTGGGATTTGAACTCTAGGCCTGGGCACTGTCCCTCAGGTCTTCAGCTCAAGGCTAGCACTCTACCACTTGAGCCACAGCACCACTTGCAGTTTTCTGGTGGTTTACTGGAGATAAACCAGGACTTTCCTGCCTGGGCTGGCTTTGAACCATGATCCTCAGATCTCAGTTAGGATTACAGGCATGAGCCACCAACGCCCGGCTCACTTTGGATTTTTAAGATCTATTTTAAGGTAAAAATGATTTTAATGTATTTTACTCCTTATCTGTGTTTTTATCTTGGTTGTTGAAATGGTACTTTGAATACAGAATTTTCCATTCCAGTATCTGTCCTGTACTGATTTATTTTGTGCTAGACTAGGGCTTGAACTCAGGGCCTGGGTGCTGACCCTAAGCTCTTTTGCTCAAAGGTAGCAGCACTCTACCACTTTGAGGTACCACTTCTTGATTTCTGGTGCTTAATTGGAGATAAAATTCTTAGGGACTTTTGTGCTGGGTCAGGTTTTGAACCTTGATCCTCAGTTACAGGCATAAGCCACTGGCACCCAGCTTGTCCCTGAACTTCTTTTTGTTCAAGGTTAGCATTCTACCATTTGAGCCACAGCTACATTTTTTTCAGCTTTTTGGCAGTTTTTTGTTGGAGTAAGTCTCACCGGCTTTCCTGTCTGAGCTGGCTTCAAACTGTGATCCTCAGATCTCAGCCTCCTGAGTAGCTAGGATTGCAGGCAAGAGCCACTAGCTCCAGCCTGTACTAGTATTTTTTGTTTTTGTTTTTATTGAGAAAATTCAAAATTGTGTTTCTCTTAAAAAAAAAACACAAGAAAACTAAATTCAGCATTTATACATGTTTGATGATACCAGTTTTACACAAGGGACTGGTACTCCAAGATTTAAATATGTGTGATATGCCCAGGCAGAGTTCAAGCCACACACAACCAACAAAAAAAAAAAGGAAGAAAAAGAAAGGGAAGGTGGCTCAGAGCTTGCCTTGCATGTATGAGGCTCTGGGTTAGATTCCTCAGCACCACATAAGCAGAAAAAGCAGAAGTGGCGCTGTAGCTCAAGTGGTTAAGCTCTTGCCTTGAGCTGAAGAACTCAGGGACAGGCCCAGAGTTCAAGCCCTACAACCGAAAAAAAATAAAATAAAATAAGTATAGGTTGCCAGTAAGTCACACAGAAAACTTAAGGGAAGGGCTGGGAAGGTGGCTCAGTGGTAGAGCACTTACCTTGCATGCATGAGGCCCTGGGTTCGATTCCTCAGCACCACATAAGCAGGAAAAAAAAGCCAGAAGTGGCACTATGGCTCAAGTGGTAGAGCACCAGCCTTGAGCTGAAGAGCTGAGGGACAGTGCCCAGGGAAGAGTTAAATGCCAAATTTTGACTTCATGTCAAGCATCCCTTTTTCACATGTTTATTAGTTTTGCAGAAGGGGCTGAAAGATAACTTCGCTGATGTCCAGGTCTCTGTAGTTGATTGTCCTGATTTGACTAAGGAACCATTTACCTTTCCTGTAAAAGGTAAGCAAGCTTTTTTTTGTTTGTTTGTTTGTCGGTCGTGGGGCTTGAACTCTGGGCCTGGGCGCTGTCCCTCAGCTCTTCAGCTCAAGACTAGCGCTCTACCACTTGAGCTACAGCACCACTTCCGGTTTTCTGGTGGTTTATTGGAGATAAGAGTCTCACGGTTTTTCCTGCCCGGGCTGGCTTTGAACCGCGATCCTCAGATCTCAGCCTCCTGAGTAGCTAGGATTACAGGAGTGAGCCACCAGCACCCGGCGTAAGCAAGCTTTTTAATATGCTTTTGGTTTTCATTTTTTCTGAGCCCATATAATTTTTTTTTTTTTTGGTCAGTCATAGTGCTTGATCTCTGGGCCTAGGTGCTGTCCCTCAGCTCTTCAGCTCAAGACTAGTGCTCTACCACTTGAGCCACTTCCAGTTTTCTAGTGGTTTATTGGAGATAAGAGTCTCATGGACTTTCCTGCCTGGGCTGGCTTTGAACCGTGATCCTCAGATCTCAATCCTTAGTAGCTAGGATTACAGGCGTGAGCCACCAGCACCCGGTCCCATATCATTTTTTTTAAATTAGTAAAATAGCATATTGTTAAAAAAACTTATAGGCTAAATTTTGCCTGATTTCTATGTTCATTTTTAATGTTGGTCAAATTTCACTTTAGACTCACATAGGAAAGATAATGTTCTATGTGCTTCACTGGTTGTATAATAGATATTCAATAAACTGGAAAGTTTTTTTTGTTTGTTTGTTTTTTGTAGTACTAGTGAACTCTAGCCCGTTGTGGACTGGCCCAATGCCCCCAGTTCTCAATAGGCTAGAATATTGTGTGTGTGTGTGTGTGCCAAAACTGGGACTTGCACTCAGGGCCAGGGCATAGTCCCTTAGCTTTTTCCACTCAACCTGATGCTCTACCACTTGAGTGGTTATTTGAAGACAAGAGTCTCAAGGATTTTCCTGCCTGAATTGGCTTCAGACTAATCCTAGTCATTAGGACTATGAACCACCGGCTATGAATGTTGATACTGTATCCTGATACTGCAATTGCTTTTAATTGTTCAAATGAGTATTAGGACACTAACTTTTTTTTTTTTTGGGTCCGGTCGTGGGGCCTGAACTCTGGGCCTGGGCGCTGTCCCTCAACTCTT